AAAGCACATTTTATTTCACATGTTGAAATAACATGACTAAATAGATCCTCCCTCTTTACTATTTCAATAAATCTCCTAGGACCTTGCTGGTTTATCCATCAGTGCTGGCAGAGATTCCGAGTGAGCTTTGAATGACAACCTTTGTCATGGATACCGGGCCGTGACATTTTCCCCAGTGGTTGCTGACCCCCACCCCAGCGAGGCTTCAGATGACACACTGATGTTTTCAGTCAAAGATGAGGTCAACACACTGTTGAACTCTGACCTCTAATAGAGAAAGATGTTGGCAGACTGAAGCGGGGAAAGATATGGATGAAGAATAAAAGATATATGTGAAGGGGGAAAAGAGGGATATAAAATGTTAAGAGAGACACATAAAAACAGCGAGTTTTGGGAAAGAAAGCAAAGGAAAGAGAGATAAAGGCAGCCAAGCAAAAGATAGAGAGCAGCAGATTTAGTCAACACAGACACACAAAAACTCCTACACGCTCACACTTGAGCCTGCACCTCAGGCTTTAAAAGAAAGAATAGACAGATAACGGCAGCCATATGTTTTTCTTTCCTTGTTGTCTGTCTCGTTCTCATTCTCTCCTCTCTATGCATGCTTTATGTACACCTTGCTTTATCTTCTTCAAATTAGCTTGCTTACCAATAGGCAGCAGAAAATATCTCTCTTAGGAGATAAATGTACCGCCTCATCTCGACCATGTGGGTATGATTACTGAATATGAAATTCAAAGTTGAAGAATTGAAACTGGCAGAATGATTAACAGCTCTGTATTTAATTCAGACACACTGTAAATTGTCTCAAAGGTTTAAAGTCGTGGCTTAAAATTCAAGCTGTCAAGCATTTTAATGCAGAGGACATTTTATTTTCTTTATCTACTGTTCAGCTGTTTTGGTTAAGACATAAAAATAAAGCTGTCTATTATTTTATGATTAAATTTATAGCTCCATCAAAAGATATGAGATGTGAATGAAAGCTCACCAAGAGTGCACAGAATGAAAATGGGAGTGATTTAAAGTTCAGGAGGCATTTTATTGAGACTTTGAAAAACAAAGGCCTGCATATATGTGTATATATGTGTTTTTTGTCACAGTTTTTGCTCCTCCTGAAGAGCCAGTAACTGAAAAACCCACCCAGCTGACTAACTACAGTTCACTGTATCTAGATATTTGAACTGTTGTTTGTCAGAGTTTAAAGTACAGGAATATATTTATCCGAGTGTGGCATTTCAGAGCAAAATATGTGCCTCACATCATTTATTTGACAGTTCTTAAACAGTCTAGTTTATGATTTTATGTGAATGCATATAAAATCACAAACTTATGAGTGGATTTTGACCTTTTAGCTCATTATCTCTTACCAAAAAAGTAGCTGTCGTTGGAGAAAGCCTGACCTTTTAGGCTCCCGTTTGGCCTCTTCACAGAGGCCAAACGGGAGCCTAAAAGGTGAACATATTTTGGATGTCAGGGAGACAATTCTCTAAACTTTTTTAGGTGATTATAAAATATGTTTGCCTATGAAAGCACATTTTCTGCATTTTACAAGCAACTGCAACAAATAAGACAAAAATCCCCAAACATGTCCCTGTGATGTGCTGTCATTAATCATGTCAGAAGCCCTCTCATGTGTCTTGTGAGCCTTTGGAGACAGCCTGACCTTTTAGGCTAAACTGCCTAACTGTAAACAGCGGTCTAATAATTCCCACCTCGATCTGCAACAACACCAAAGACTATTAAATCACAGATGCACTGGTGCCGATATCCCGATGTAAGGCAACTGCAAGAGACATTTTTTGTGCAGATTTTACACTTCATACTCTGATAATACTTTTCATAAATAAAGATCGTTCACTTTTTCACTTGTGTATTGTTACTTCAGTGTACTGGGAGTGGATAGTACTTCCTCCACCGTTGCAGGTTTCTAATAGCTGACTAAACCAAACATGGAATGAAAAATGAGACTTAAGGATTGATCTAGAAAGTGCAATCTGCTTTCATCGAGACAGAAGATCTAAAGAGACTTGTTGAGGAACAAGTTACGGCCACTAGTTCATCTGCTACAAAAGCGGCACATTAAACTCAACCATGCAAGTGAAAAATGAACCAAAAGCAGCCTGTTCTGATGAAAAGCAGAAGGTGAATAATCGGCAGATGATAGTCTTTTATCACAAATAATTTAGCACAAAACCGCCCCAGTAATCCTGAACAAAGTCTTAATGTCATTTGCTATTACAAACATCAAGCTTGCTCACCAACGTTAATTAAATCCAGGGAGGTGTATGTGTGTGCTGTCGGAGATAGCATTCAAGACCGATCAAGCTTGCAGAGTGAGGAGGCACCTATATTATCACCTAAATCAGATACCCTGCACAGAAAATGGGCCTTTTCCAACACGTGTACACACACACACACACACATACACAAATAAAACTGACTGCCCTCTAATCCCAAGATGCTGACATCTAAAGCCATCCAAATGCAAAGACATGTTGCTGAATACATTAGCTTTAAAAGGCACTCCTGCACAGTGAGAGGAAATACTATAAGAAATAATCAAATAATACAGACTACAAAAAACAAGGAATCACAGTCAACAGAGGATGATACCGAGGCAGTCAATGAGATCCTGCTGAATGATGATAATGATAGACTAAATAGGATTATACCCACAGCACTACATTCCCATGCAAACACAGATGGATCCCACAAGCGAAAAGAGAAAGTCTGTAATTTTGCAATATTGTAATCAGCAGAGAGTGGTTGTTTGTCCTTTCTAGGCTCTTGTTAAGCTTTCCAAATCCTGCAGAGCTGCTGTGAGAGGGTGTCAAGGATCTGCAGAGGCCCACAAGATGATCTATAATACCGTCATATAGAGCACTTTTTTTGGTTTTCATAAAACCCTAAAAGCAGAATGAGAATACAATGCATGAAAAAACTGTAAAGACCCAATCTGTTCAGGCAGTCTCATGAGTTTGCACACTCATGTTAAGCTCCAATTGTTGGGCAAAAAAAACGTGATGAAATATTAATGTTCTGCCTGCTTGGGGAAAAATATGGCAGTGAAAGATCTTATTTAGGTGTAAACAGTTCCAGTGCTGCCTGTGGCCATTATATTTCCAAACAAGTGCTGCAATACAATACAGCGAGTAGGAAATTGCATCCAATGCTCCTAAATGTATTTCAAATTGGAACTAAGGCATGGTATCTTCAACAAGATGGCCAGTAAATGATGCTGGAAAGAACGAAAGCTAAAACGATGGCAGTGGCACGGGCTGGGGGAGAAGTAGATGCTGTCAAAGCTTTCACTAGATTCAACAGAGCTTTATAGCGGCAACTTATAAGTTTGTGCTGCGATGGAAAACTTCAAACAGCACAAACCAATAATGCTCTATTTTTCTTGTGGATTGATTCGACAGCTTAGTCACAAACAATTTACCTGCATCAAACCTTTTTTATGTGCAAAATCTCTCGTGACAAAGACCTAACTGATGGTATACCACTAAGAATTCGCCCAAGAAAAGGCAGCTTTTTCTCTGCAGGCACTATCGCCTTCATTAGACATGCTGCCATGTGTGAGACCAAACCTTCAGCTCTTAATCAATAAAACCAGGGATGCTGGGCAAGGCCACAGCTTTAACACTGGCTTTGTGTTCTGCCAGACAGAGCTGTTAATGATGTCGCCACTGAATTGATAAAAGGAGATTCGGGAGGTGGAGGTGCTCTGTGTTGAGAGATCATACGTGCTTTTTTCATCGGCTCGGAGATCATAGTTCCCACATACATCAGTGATGATTAGTAAACAGCAAGAGATGTTTCAGTTGGGAGATATTGGTGAGGGTTGAATGTCATAAATCTGTTGATGGCATTTATCATGAACACTACATGAATGGATGTGTCTGATCAGTGGGAACAGACTCAGCAATCAATTGTGACCATTTACATCAGGGCATCGACGTGCATGTGTAACATACCATCATACATCTGCGCAAAAATAACAACAGAGGGCATTCAGGACGCGTACAAGGTTTCTCTCTAGTTCAAAAAGGGCTATTTCAGCCTAACATGAGCAGACAGCCTCGAGATTTTGGAAACCCAGTTCATTTTAATCATCATGATAGTTTCTTCTCAGTCTGTTATTTTGGTGTCTTCTGTGATGCTGATGGAGCTTTAGAAATTTGATGCACTAGAAACTGAAGGCCTTACTTTGGCTTTCTCAGTTTGGGCCTTGAGAATTCTTACAAAATCGGAAAGTGAATTTTAGGGTGTGTGCATTTATCTAGTTAGCAAGACAAAAACGAGTCACATGAAATGAGGCTGGAGGTATAGCAGTCATAAAAATCAGGACATATTTATGGCTATTTTGGCCATTTAAAGATTTTTGTTTGTTTGTTTTTTTTTTCATTTATGTTAGCTGAATGGTGTGTGTGTGTGTGTGTGTGTGTGTGTGTGTGTGTGTGTGTGT